TTGAGAAGTGGCCCATCTGACTAACTCGTCTTGATCTTTTTTTTTTTTTTTTTTAGCAGTACTCAGGCATTTACCAGGGAAGCATTTCATACAGGGTATTGCTCTCCCAAATAGCAGCTGGAATGGGCTTGAGCCACTAGACCTGGACTGTTTTTAAGACAGGAGCTCACTATTGCCTGAGCTGAATGTGAACTGCAATCCTCCTATCTACTCTCAAGTAGATGGGATTTCAGGCTTGAGCTACATCACCAGGTCCTAACTCTTAGTCTTTTAGATCTTGTACTCTTTCTCCAGAAGTGTCTTAATCCATTTTCTGTGGCTTAACAAGTAACCAGAGACTAGGTAACTTATAAAAGTTTATCTCAGCTCCTAGTTCAGAGATCTAAGAGCACAGCACTGTACCTGATCAGCTCCTGTCAAGAGCCACATGCCAGCCCATGCATGGAAGGAAAGCAGAGGGGGAATGGGCCTGTGAGAGTTGAGTGTGGGGAAGGAGCTATCTGGCTTTATAATATTACCTACTCTCATGAGAACAAGTCCATTTCTGTGACAGTGCTGTCTCATGAGAAAAACATGGACCACTCTTAAAGAGCTAATCATCTCTGAAAGTCTACTACTTCTCTATACTTAGCAGTTCCAATGGAAACAAAACCATATTCAAACCATAGAAACCGTCTCCTAAACTCAAAGGCTTACTGTATGCTGTTCTAGAAGCTTCAATAGCACTGTACTTCCCTTCTGTCGCCACTACCAGACATAGCAAGATATTCTGCTTAACTCTGCATTCCCCAGCATGATCAGCTTTGGGAGAACATACTCCCAACACCCACATCAGCACCTGGCACACAAGAGGGCCTAGTAATGTTGAAGGACACACCACACCACCTGTACACTCAGGGCTGATGCTGGGCCTCTGGATCAGAGCCTTCAGGAAGATACATGCATCACAAGAGTGAGCCACAAGAAATGAGTATACCTACATAGTTCTGAGAAGTGGAAGGCTAGCTCCCCACCAAACACATATGCAGGCTACCAACCAGACAGAGATATGGCCTTAAATGTTCACTCTCATGAATTTAGTGCTGAAATGACTCAAGTTCACTTACAATGGAGGAAACCGAGGTCTAAGATTTCTCAAGCGAGATGTAACTGTTTAGTGAGAGCTGTCTCCACAAATACTGCACCTCAGCACAGAGAGTAAGATTCCCCCAGGGAAAAGTATGCAAAAGGTAGTGGAAAGCTAAATGTAACAAGAATTACATTTAGCTATCGTTAATTATTAACTAATTAACTACCAGTTAGAATGCAAATAGGTGCAGCATTTCAAAGATAGGGTTTTTGTCTTATTCTGTTCTTTTCCTTCCTTTTTACTTAAAAAACAAACAAAAAACTATACTAGATAAGTTGGGAGTTTAGAGGAAAAGCACTTGCAACTGTCAAGCCATGGGTTTGATCTCCAGCACAACAAAAACCAAAACAACCACTACAAAGTATACTGGAGAAAAAAAGTAATTTGATATGTTAGGCACTAGCTCAGATTTACACTGAAGGCCTCCTGAGTATCTAGGGCTACAGGCATATGTCATCACTGCCCAACTCCAAATTGTTTTCTTGGTTTGTTTTTTTTTTTTGGTTTTAAGGAGTTCCAGTATTTTTAAACAATGAAAAATTCTCCTTGAATTAGCTCTAATAGATGCCATTCAATTCAACTGTACTCGCAAGGAACTGTGACAGGCCCAAATGGGAGCTCTTTCCATGCCCTTCAAATTTCAAAGGGAAAAGTGACAAGCACTTAGATCACTGTAGTATGAGGCAGACATGAAATGCATCCTGTGACCTCTCAACCAAGTGTCAGGAAAGCATCCCTGATGCATGACAGTCTGTCAGGCCTTTCCCTCTAGGGAAAGCTGGGGGGGACAGAGGGCATTTCCCTCCCACCTTCCATGGGTGAAGACAACTGGGTTTGTAGGAGACATCAAGGAAAATAAGAAATCTAAAATCAGAAGCCCTGACACTATCATACCTTTATTTTTTAAACCTGCAATGCTAGGGTTTGAACTCAGGGGCTTACACTTGCTAGCTCTACCACTGAGACACACCTATGGCTCCAGATCTATCTTTTGTAAGCCATGATCCCAAGCAAATCACTTCCTAACATGCTGCCACCAGGTAAATTCACTGCACTGGTCTCTCACTCATCATTTTCAAAGTCACTTAGAGTGATAGGCAACAAGAGATGAAGGTTTTCTGTAACTGACAAAAAAAGAATTCAAGAGCTTTAACTGTTAAAATTTGCACACACACTCTACAAGCCAGACATCACAGGGAAAAGCCCAAGTCATACTAAGGCAAAAACTAATGTAACTGATGCTCAAACTTCATTAATTCAGCATGAGATTTGCTTGCAACCCAAGTTTTTTTCCAAAGTAAACGTATGGTTATGAAAGTGAGATGCTATTTTGTGCAAGTTAGAATTGTGTACTTGTTTAGTATTTGAAATAAAAATTTATAGTTTTTATGACCATAATAAAATGGTCAAATATAGACTAAGAAAAATACGTAATTACTTTAAAATGTAAAAGTAAGGTGCTAGATTTCATAAGTTCACTATATAAAGAAATAAACGAGAAGGCAAAAAATCAGGAAAAATCAGTAATAAAACTCATGGAAATTCACTGCATTAATGCTAATTTAGACCTGGGTTACACTACTAATTCACGGCAGTCCCTGACAAAATCTCAATGTCATTCTTCACAAACACAGAAAAAAATCAATCCTATAATTCATATGGAAGTACAACAGACCCCAAATAGCCAAAGCAATCTTTCGCAAACAGAGCAACAATACCAATAATAACTCTCCATATGACATAAATAATACCAGACTTCAAATTACCCCACGGAGCCATAATAGCAAAAACAGTATGGTACTGGCACAAAAACAGACACAAAGATCAAAGACTTAGAAACAAATTCATGTATTTACACCCATTTAATATTTGACAAAGGAGCCCAAAACATATGTTGGAGAAAAGACAGCCTCTTTAACAAATGGTGCTGGCAAAACTGGTTATTTGCATTCAGGAAACACTGTCACCCTGAGTTCAAGCTCCATGCTTGGCATGCATGCATATGTGTGGGCAAGTATGCACACACACGCACGTGAACACACACACACACACACACACACACACACACACACACATCCCACACACACAACAAAGCCTGTTTTTCAAAGGGAAGGGAGGAATTAAGGAATTATAATAGAGGGTGTGAAGTTGCTCAAAATAGATAGTAAATATACATAGAATTTTCACAGGAACTCCCCCCCACTATCAATGAATCATAAATAATTGAGTATGATTTAGAGGCATGCCAACCCTCTCAAAAAGAGTTAATTTATAGCCAAGAAAGTTCATAGGAAAGATGATAATAGAATGTCCATTCACACTATGGTTATAAAAAAGGATATTATGAATTTTAATAAGAATTAGATGGAGAAATGTGTCAATTCAAAGAAGGAGAAAAATAGCTGGATTATCATTCAATTTAAACTCAAAGTAAAAAACATCAAGGCCCACTTAGAGAAAGAAAAGCTATGTTCAAATTGGTAAAGATGAAGCAACTGCTTTTTCAGTCATTTGAAGAGCTCCTCCTGATTTCCTTCTCCTGCCCTACCCCACAATTCCTTCTTCCCCAAACCTAACATGATCAGAACAATTAACTAAGAACCTAAGAATTCTGCCTAATTTCCCACAACTTAAACCCCAGGGAAAAGAGAGAAAAAGAGAAAGTAACTGAAAATCCCTGGATGAGCTTAGGAACCTCCTTCTCTTTACTTTCATGCAATGTGATCTTCCTGTAGTTAACAAGGATTGTCACAAATAGACATCCTGGCACAGACCTCAAACTCAATACACAGCTGTCCAATTCCTAATCTGAAAAAAAAAACCCACACATAGACTGTCGATTTAATTTTATTATAAGAGGAAGTAATCACAGGAAATGGCAGCAGGGTATTTGATAAGCTCAGTTAGCATGGGGATCAAATGAAGTAAAGACATGCCACTCTGACCTCAGGGTGAAAGATTCCATGTTCCATCTGGCAACATCTAGCTTTCCAACACAACTACTGACACCACCTGTGGTCTGTACTAGGCGTTATCTCGACCAACCCCTGAGCATTTTCCACATAACAGGCAGAGTAAGCCTCAAATTGGTTCCTGTGTTATTCTATTGAAAAAGCTGGCATTAAAAGCTATACAAGTGTTTATTTGCCAATCACAGTAACAATAAAAATCTCATAGTTATTCACAAGTGATCTTGTGTCATTGTTTTCTATAGCACCAAGGGATCAGTCCAATGAAGAGCTCTTTTTGCCAGGTACGGGGGGGGGGCACATCTGTAACCCTGGTACTCAGTAGACTGAAGCAGAAGGACTGTAAAATCAAGGACTGCTTGTGTGTATATTCATACACACACATTCCTCCATAATAAACTCAGATCATGTTCAGATCCCTGGTCTTGAGATTTCATATTAGAGAGGTAAGAGTACTGGAACAAATTCTTAAGGTGCCCATGCCAATCTCTCTCTCTCTCTTTTTGCCAGTCATGGGGCCTGAACTCTGGGACTCTGAGCTCTTCAGCTCAAGGCTAGCGCTCTACCACTTGAGCCACAGCACCACTTCTGGATTTTTCTACTTATGTGGTGCTGAGGAATCGAACCCAGGGCCTCATGCATACAAGGCAAGCACTCTACCACCTTTTCAGCCCACCCATGCCAATCTCTTTCGATAAAATTAGCTTTTTACCATCTACTCCCTACCTATACAAATTTGCCATACTCTTATGTCAATCTAGTTATTTCTAAAATGTCAGGCAGCTACATGAGTGTCTCTCCTATTAAAACGCATTCCCCAAGCTATTTCATTTTCTTCCTTCTGGTCAGTGGTATGGCAAGTATGTAAGCATCTAGAAATTCCTAAGTAACACAAAACTTACTTGGTTTTCTGGACCCACACACAATAGTCTGAGATGTAAAGATCGTTCAAAATATAAGCTTGGTCATTTTCTTGAAAAATCTTGTGAATATCCAAGAGACACTTTAAAACTGCACTCTTACCTAAAGAAAAAGGTAAAACACTCAATCAGCCTTAACAAAAGAAATACAATCTTTTAACTGACATATCCAGATATTGAGATGTAAAACAGTTCAAACAGCTTAGAATTTTAAACTATTTTGTTTTGCTTTTTTCAGTTGTGGTGGTGGTAGTAGGGTTTTGAACTCAAGGCCTTGTACTTGCCAAACAAGCACTCTACCACTTAAGACATGCTCCCAATTCTTTTTGCTTTTGTCATTTTTAGAATAAGGTCTTACATTTATGCCTAGCAATTCTGGACCACAATCCTCCTATTTATGATTCCCATGTTGCTGCTTACCACTATATCCAGCTTTTTATTGGTTAGGATGAATGGTTTATAATTTTTTTGCCTGGACTGGCCTTGAGCCTCAATCATCCTGATCTCTGCTTCTCAAGGAGCTAGTACATACAAGTCCTGTTACTTTCAAACCCCTGTTTCTTTCCTTGATGATTATACACAATCTCTACTGTCAAGCAGATTAACTGTGATGACCATAAACATGCTATGAAATACAACAGAATCTATAAACAAAAGAAAGGGAAATTTTCCAAATTAAGTGAATATCTAAGTGCAGCATAATTTTAGATAGATAATGTTCTACCACTCCAAGCTTTCAAAATAACATAGTAAATCACATTTTAATTTTCACGCCTCTTTATTTCTTATGGCAATATTTTTCATCAAGGAATTACCTAGTACAAACATGTTTTTTCACCTTAGAAAACTCAAACTGAAAAGGAAAAGTGTCATAAAACTATTTCGAAGCTAAACTGACAAAAGTCACTGGAGAAAAAGCCATGAGTCTCGTTCAACCTAATTACTTCCTCCTGCTTGTTAAATGAATCTGATTTTAATCCAACCAGAACACACAAAAGACACCTTTTGTAACTCAACCAGGCCCAAGGTGTTTCAAATGCGTGGTAATATGAGGCAAAATCCTAAGGCACAAGTAGCACCACTTCCAGCCATCTGTAAAACACAGGTTCACTCTTATCCTTACAGCTCAGAAACATGGGAATCTGGCCAGTGATTTCACAGAGATAGAACAGGTGTTGTCTCCATCTCCTCTTCTTGGATAACATGAAAAAAACCATGGGCTATGTGATGCCATCTCCAGAACTCAAAATTGCTGCCACTAAAATATTAATATAAGTGGCGCTGTAGCTCAAGTGGTAGAGCGCTCGCCTTGAGTTGAAGAGCTGAGGGACAACGCCCAGGCCCAGAGTTCAAGCCCCACGACCGACAAAAAAAAAAAAAAAAACTATATAGAGCACTCAGAACCTCGGCAATTTAAAATATTAATATAAGGAGAGGTGGGTGAGAATGTTGAAAAGGGTGACATTGATCAAGATGCACTGAACTAAAAAACTGCTTTGTTAAAGGGCAACTCCTTTGTAAAACTACTGAAAAAATATTAAAATAAAATTATTTATGTAGTTAATCCTGAAAAGTAAGTTTCAAAAATCAGGAATTTGTATGCTTGGTGGTCAATCCCTAATACCTAGAAGAGACCTTTGCAGGAAGTTTTCCATTTGGGCATTTTAAGAATGAACACTGAAGCTAGGTGCCAGTGGCTCATGCCTATAATCCTAGCTACTCAGGAAGCTGAGAGCTGAGGATTGCAGTTTGAAACCAGCTCAAGCAGGAAAGCCCATGAGACTCTTATCAGCAATTAACCACCAAGTGCCAGAAGTGGAGCTGTCAATCAAGTAGTAGAGTGCTAGCCTTTTACAAAATCTCAAAGACAGCTTCCAGGCCCTGAGTTCAAGCACTAGAACTGACATGGATATAAAACAAATGAACTCGACAGTAATCACTCAGCTTAAACCCTTGCAACATCTTCTACCCCAATCTTACACCAAATCTTGGAAACTCTTCCTTGGGAATGCCCCCCTGGACCTGCCCTTTCTCCACCACCGCCTAAGCACCCCTCACTCCCACTCCCACATCTCAAGCCTAGACTGAATTGCCTTCGCCCCCATCTTCAGTGCCTCCATAGCTCTCTATTGACATCTCTATTGACTCTGTTCAACTGGCTGTTCTTTGTCTCTGTTCAAACTAACCTGCTGTCGAGATCTAGCTCAAGCCTTCAATCTTCCAGGAAGCCCGATTTGACTTCCCCACCCCCAGGTTCCATATCAAACCGTGCGTAGGGGAGAGAGGGGAAAGGGAACTCAGCTGATCCTCTCCATAGCTTTCCTTGCTCTCATCACACAGGTGGACCCTGAGCTTTCAGTATGGATGTCCAAGGAAGGACAACAAAGTGAGGAGTCAGGACTGAATTCCAACCCTACTGGCTTAGAAGCCATCCAATGTGCCACAACAAGGACTTTCATGTCCTTGGACCTTTCGGTATATGCTGAAGAGCTAGGCAGGTTGTAAGTCCTTGAAAAGAGAAGTCACAGAATCTAAAAAACAATAACTGTGTGGCTTCCTCATATGCAGATGTGCAGAAAGCTGATAAAAGCTATATTGCTACCGTAGTTGTTAGGAAATAATAATACTTAGCAGCTCCCAAACTACAAGAGGTCAAGTTCATTTGGTCAAGTTCATACCCTAAGAAGGTGACAGGTTAATCAGGCCAAATGATTAATGTGGACCCCTCCCTAGGCTTGTATTATAAATCAGGTACAGTTAAAGTCAAGGTTTCATGAAAGGAAGAGGAAATACAAACAGAACTCCTAAATGTGACAAAACTAATTTAGTTACATTATCTATGTTATCCAAAAACCAAGAGAGAATATCATCTCTAAGAAGTGTTTTGAACAGCTTTAACTGCCACTGGAAAAACAATCGTCATAGTAAGCAAATGTCTATCATTTCTCTCTTGATTCCTGTATTTTCAGAGAAAGCAGTGCAGACCAAAGGAGTTTGTTAGCTTAAATTTTTGTAACAGACTGATTTAAAGTTTTAAAAGTCAATTGTGAAAGCCGAGTGTCAGTAGCTCACACCTGTAATCCTAGCTACTCAGGAGGATGAGATCTGAGGATCTCAGTTCAAAGCCAGCCCAGGCAGGAAAAGTCCATAAGACTCTTATCTCCAATAAACCATTCAGAAAACCAGAAGTGGCACCTTGGCTCAAGTGGTAGAGCGCTACCCTTGAGCTGAAGAGCTCAGGGACAGCGCCCAGGCCCAGAGTTCAAGCCCCATGACTGACCCCCCCCCCAAAAAAGGTCAATTGTGAGCTGTCACCAGGAAATCAAACTATTTGCTTATCACTTGAATACGCTTCTCTATAGTGGGATTGACTCCTATACCCCGTTAACATCAGCAGGTGGACAGAAAATGCAGGTTGAGCAGAAGGCTCGACATGGGAAAACAAGGAGCAGAAGGAAACAAGTCTGGGAGATGTGAGACAGTAGCCAGGAAGAGATGATGGCCTCCATGCCATCAGACAGGCTGAGCAAAATAGGCTCAGACAAAAGACAAACTTGAGAGAGCTCCAGGAAGAGTCAGAAGTTAGGTCACACACGCAGAGAAAGCAGAGCTGCTGGCACTGAAGGAAATTACACTGCCCCATTTAGCAGACAGGATACACTGTGGGTGCCCCCTCGCCAACGGTCTCGGGTAAAACCAAACCTTCTTGCTACGCAAAAGAACAATGAATAAGCAAAAACTACCAATGAAGAGAATGTCAAATAACAAAATTAAATAAAGGTCCAACTAAATTATCCCTTTAAAGGGGATAAATTACATTGATTAACATGTTATGACCCCTATTTTAAAAAAAAGAAAGAAAGAAAAATACAAGGGCTGGAGACCTGGCCCAAAGTGGTAGAGTGCTCTCCTTGCAAGTTCAAACCCAGTGCCAGTGCTATAGTTCACTGTTGCAACGCTTTGTCAAAATTGTCCAAAACTTAAGCAAAATCAGACATACTTCACTCTAAACCAACCCCTCAAATACTGGCAAAGGAATGTTCTAATTCATAGAAGTACATTTTTTAATAACTGAGAAGCAGTATTTTACTTTTATTTTTTGAGCCAGTGAACTCAGGGCCTCATGTTTTCCTTTGACTTTTCCCACTCCAGATTGGTGTTCTACCACTAGAGGCACTCCTCCTCCCGGCATTTTGATGGTTAATTGGAGACAAGAGTCTCATAGACTTCTCTAAATGGGCTGGCTTTGAAACACGATCCTCAGATGTCAGCCTCCAGAGTAGCTAGGATTACAGGTTTGAGCCACCAGAGCATGGATAGGTAAGGTAGTTTTAAGAACGACATGAAAGCAGTTTGGAAAGGGAAAGTTAGGCACTCTTTTCTAAAGCCATTTCTAAACCATTTTCACAGAATTCTTTGTGATAAATACAGTAGGCTACTAGCTGTTGGCAATCTAGAAGAAGCGCAGTAAAGTCACCTGTCCTGCAACACTGTGTTGTGCTCTATGGTCACAGGAGTCTTTTGTTCTCTCTCCCAGATGGGCGCAGCTCTGCCAGGCACTCCCAGGAGGGTGGCTAACTAGCTTGTTGTTATATCTCTTATGGAGACTGCTCTTCCTATCAAGTCCTCCACCACTCAGCTTGCAGCTAACAACAAAAACAGAACAGACCTCTTCTAGATTGTCACAAAGTCAGTGGCCAGAAGTCCCAGCGACTCAAAGTCCCTGCCTCCTGTGGGGCTTTACCCAGCTATGGGCTTGTCATATATCATAGAGGCAAAAAAAAAAAAAACACCAAAAACCTGCTCAGGTCCAAATCTAAGACATTTATCTCTGCTCAAAGGCACTACAGGAAAGGAGCATTACCCAGCAGTTCACTGCCTGGTCCAAAGCTGGGAAGAGAGGAAGGTATGTTGCATAGTAACCACAGTAACCATTTTTTTTTTCACTTCAGAAAAGCTCACTGCTCTGCTAGGATGTCAAACACGGCATCTCCCCCACCCTCCTGCTCCCACCCCAGCTCCCCGGCCAGTAGGGACTGTCCAGCTTGATTGGTCATCTAATCCTATCCATGTATGACTGGCTGGGAACAAGGTCTCTATCAC